TCTTGTGCACCCATTGTCCTCAGCGATCATGCCAGGTAAGTGTACTCCCCCAACACAAGAACACTTTGTTCTAAAAACTTGTCACCCTTTTTTTATGCTTCCTTCAAAGTCCTTGTCCCTGTCTGGGCGTCCTAGGGGACCATTCATGCAACGCTGACCATTCGTGCAATGCTGACCATTTCTTTGATGAAGCATTTCTCTTTGGCACACAGCACTGACAGCATCCTGGTATATGTGCCCATGGAGGGTGTGATTGTTGGGTCATGCGATTATTGTAAGTTTAGGTTTTTTATTTTTACAACAAGAAAACAATTTTTAGAGAGATTGTGCTATTTCACATTTTCACTAACATATGTAAAAGATCAAGTTTTTCACATCCTTGCCAACATTTGTATTGGCACTGTTAACTTTTTTCAGCTTTAATTAACATGTCATACAATGTAATGTCAAAAAGGGTTGTGCAGTCATAGCCACAGTCAGTTTTGGAGCTTTTTCTTCCTTATCGTCCCCATTGGTGTTGACTCCCTGGTCCTCCCCGCTTCCTCCCCATCATACATGGCCCTACACAATAATTAATACAGCTACACTTTTCATAAATCCTTCCATCCATCCATCCTCATTTCCCCATATGGACTAAGATACAAAACTTGTGGGGAGGGGGGGAGACAAATAAGGATCCAGCAACACTGACCACCTGAAACAGAGAAAGACCTCAATCTAGAAAAAGAAGAGAATATTAAAATTTTAGAATAAACTCACAATGAGTCCACAGGGAGTTCTAATGTCAACGTGTCTACATTCTAGCCTAAGCACAGCTGCTAAAACCCTAAAATCGCAATGCTCTTTGCCTGGTACTAAGGTTGCTCACATTCCTAGTCTATGGACATTGGGGGTTCAATCCATGTAAGGACCCTGCAAATGGATTTTGGACTACCACTATCATCCATCAAAGTCAGTGCCACTGAGTTGATACCTATTCATAGTGATCCTTTAGAACAGGATGGAACTGCCCCTATGAGTTTCTGAGCCTGTAATTCTACGGGAGTAAAAAGCCTTGTCTTTCTCCCTTGAAGAGGCTGGTGCTTTCAAAATTGTGGATTGCAGCACAACACATAACCACTACATCACTGGGACTTAAAATTTAGGTTTGGATCTTATAATTTGCAATCCTGAGAACACACAGGCTGATGTGCACCTGTGTGGACATAGCTGATTCTTCACTTAAATGGATGCTTGTTTTGAGACAAAAATTTAAGGCCCAGATGCTGTTTTTGATGATAGTCAGGTACCATGTGATTTCTTCACCACACTTTGTTATGGCACCCATGTCTTCAGCGATCTCTTCATCAGGGCATGTACTGGGCAAGGCCATGTCACAAGAATGAGTTGTTCTTATATTAGGACTATGATCAAGTGGAGATCAAAATGCAGTCATATAACTATGGCTTCTACATACCTCTGGCTTATTTTTA